CAGCAAGTATTGAAAAAAATTAGTAATAGTGACAGCAAAATTAAAAAGCATGGCATACAAGTTGAAAGTACTGAGACAAAAATTACATAAAAGAAACAAATTGTTAAAGTTTTAAGAGCTGAACTTAGAGATCTTAAACAAAATTTGCAAACATATTATTACAGTAAGATAATATACAATCTTAAAGCTTAAAAAAAAGGCAATGAAAATTTCAGAACTTTAAAAGCTAAAATAAGTTAAAGTTGTATATAATATTAAGGCAAATAAAATGCTTGTAGCTAGTTACGAATATTTGCTTGCATATATGTAAAGCAGTTGATCATCTAACTTTTATTTATATTTTCATTTAGCATCTTTTAATGATAGTGATCAATCGATCATCTCAAATATATCAAACGCAATGTCAGGCAAAGTTGCAACTAACCATCTTACCATAAGCAAACTGTGTGACATTCAAGGGGAAAGTTTGAATGAGCTAAACTGCCATTTACACGCTCTTGATATAATTGCTACCTCATGGCTGGGTATGATTGTATGGCATTTAAAATAGTTTTGGCTATGAACAAGTTGAGGTTTAACTTCAAAACCAGGTTCACTTTTGAAAATGACCTTGAACCAAATATTTTAGATCCAATAAAAAATGTTTTGTTTGATTGATGAACACTTTATCAATATGACTTTTGCTTGTCTTATTGCAGTGGGAGATGTCATAACTCATCAATGTAAGAGATATTTCTCACTTTCTATTAACCAGACTCTCAAGGAGGAAGTAGCATGTGCAAGGCTTCACGATATAAATAGTGAAGAGTTAATGGGAATGTTTAGTGAGGCTGAAGAAAAATCACCTAATGCAACAGTTTGTTATGTTTCATACAAATTAAATTACCTAGATAGTTTAGATCAATTATCTAGAGAAAATATTGTTATGTGGTGGATTCAGAAACCCATAAAAATGTAGTTATGTGGTTGATTCAGAAACCCATGAAAATATAGTTATGTGGTCTATTCAGAAACCCATAAAAATATTGTTATGTGGTCTATTCAGAAACCCATAAAAATATAGTTATGTGGTCTATTCAGAAACCCATAAAAAGAGATGATAAATCAAATGAAGCATAATGATATATGAGTAGATATTTCAAAAAAATATGTATGCAAATGCCAAAAAATGGATGAAAAAGACAAAAGAAAGTTAAAATGACAGTTGCTTAAACTCTTTTACAATGAAATAAAGTGTTTAAATACATTGTAAATACAACTTCATGACTAAGATGATGTAATGTCAGATAGAATTGTTGGGCAAAAACTTTGCCATGAATGGTACAATAGTAAGTATTCAAAGTATGACATGAATGATGGTAGAGAATAAAAAAACTTGATAAAACAAAACAAGACAAAGTTTACACAATTTCTTACTGGAATAAAGGTAATACTGATACTGACGCTGTTGACTACAACATGAAAAAATTTCAGCTTCCGCTGATGTTGGACTAAGAGAGTTGATTTTTTTTTGAAGTGTAATATGTAACAACTTATGATATTACTTGTAATGAACCTTTAAAAATAGATACTGCAAGTGATAAAACTTACAAAACAGATACAGCATATGATGAAACTTGTATAAAGGTATTGTAAGTAATAAAACTTGAAGTAGTCATATCAAGTCAGGTATGCCTGGTATTAAACCATATGTTTTTGTTTTACTTTTTTTTATAAATGTTTTTAGAGAAGAATAAAAGTATTTGACTTGCAACGACCTTTGCACAAGTGTTGTGACTTGCAAAATATTTTGATAGGCAGCTCTGGCTTATCCTCACGTGGTGTCTATTGTTACAAATGATTATTATAGTGTTCCATTTATGAAATTGACTCTTAATTATTTACTAAAAGCTAAGACAACTATTTAAACTTAGGATATCTAAAATGTTTTAATACAGAACAATAAAATTGATTGTTACATTTTTTTATAGGATACAACACTGATATTTTTGGTAATGAAATAAAATATATTTAATGAAATATCAAAAAATGAAATATACTAATTTATTTTGTTTGTTAAAGATACAATTATTTTTAAGAATTCAACATCTTTTTATTGTAGGTTGTGGGTAACCATTACCACTCTATTTAACAAACTTCTCAACTTAACCAAAATTTACGAATAGCAGCGAAAAGACTTTTTTTTCAAAAGTAGGCTCGGTTGTGGTCTTTATCTTTAGCTTGTAGATTATACTTGGTGCAAAATGCCTAGTTCAGGTTTTAAATTGTTAACTTATTTTAAATTGTTAACTCATTGTCAGGTTTTAAATTGTTAACTCATTTTAAAATAATTATAGTTGTTATTATAAAGATTGATTTATTTTACTTATTTATTTTTTTAGGTTGGAGGGGGGGCACACGCCCCTCCCATGTCAATAAGCACACCACCAATAAATGAAATTCTTGTAGCAAAAAAATTTTTTATGTTTTTTATACTGTGTACTAGTTTCACTTATTTTATTAAATATAGAAATATTTATTTATAATTAGAGAATTAAATATTTTTGAAATTAGGGTGTGTTAAACCATCACCACCATATCCACCACCAACTTTAATAAACATCAATCTTTGACGGTCTGGAATAAAATTATAGCAGTTTTTTGTATAAAAAAAATAACCGTTTGTTGAAAAAAAAACTTTTTATTGAAAGAAATATGCTTATTTTTAGGGTTAAGGTGGTGGTTCGGCACCCCCTCTAGCCCCCAGGAAACGCCCAATAGATGGACGATGTTATAAATTTGTAGCCCACAGTTACACCTATCTTTTGATACTAAGTTATAGGTATTTAGACAAGAATTGACAAAGTTATAACAATTTAAGTAAAGAAAAATTAAATTTTGACCACAGTTTCTTCAACAAATCCATATATCAAAAATTTGCGACTAAAAACGTCATAACTTTTTGTACAATAGTCCGATTTTAATAATTTTTTCACCTTTAAAATACTGTATTGAAGCACTTTCTAATGATATATAACAATCTAACCTTTGATCAATTTAAAATTTTCAATCCACATACCTATATATATATATATATATATATATATATATATATATATATATATATATATATATATATATATATATATATATATATATATATATATATATATTATATATATATTATATATATATATATATATATATATATATATATATATATATATATATATATATTATATATATATTATATTATATATATATATATATATATATATATATATATATATATATATATATATATATATATATATATATATATATATATATATATATATATATATATATATATATATATATATATATATATATATATATATATATATATATATATATATATATATATATATATATATATATGCAATATAACTTTCTGTCATTCATTTTTTGTTTTAGATTGAAAAAATTTATAAAATGTATTTACTTTTAGATAATATTTTTAATTTTATAAAAGGTATGGTAAATTTTAATAATGTATAATTACAAACTTACAGTTGATTTTGTCTGTCAAAACTCAATTTATATGTTTTCTTTAAGGACCTACATTATTGTAGGTCCCATACTGTCTTTACAACTTAAATAATAAAATTTCAGTTGTTTTAAAGTTTTTTATATTTTAATTGTGCATTCATATAATAATTTAATTAATTTTGGAGTTATTTTAGAATTAATAATGGGTAAAGCTAGTGATGTTTCCCTAGTGAATATGGAAAGTAGCTGTTTTTCTGGTAGAAACAAGTTACATCCGAAGAAATTGTCAAAAAATTGTAAATTGGAAAGGCTATAGTTATAAGAACAAATTCTAAACTTAAAATGGGGATAAAATTAAAAGCACAGAAAACTGGTTCCTGTGGCAGAAAAAGAGTTAAAAGTGCTAGAGATGACAGAAAAATAAAAAAAGTTGTTGAACAAAATCGTAAGATACCACCAATAAAACTGAAAATTGTTTTAAAAGACCAAGGAATAAAAATTTCTCTTTGATTTTTAAGAGGGAGAAGTTATGAGTTTGGATTGCGATTAAAAAACATCTTTTCTGGGCTAAGAAGCACTCTTCTTTTTCTCAAGAAGACTGGAATAAAGTAAATTTTTCATTTAATTCCTCCTGAAACATAAACAATTAATATTTTAATATTATAAGTTTTTAAAAGATGTTTTTGCATTAACATCTTATCCCAATTCATTTTATTAATACTTGAAATATTATAAAACATCAATATTTATTGCTTTATTCAGGTTGTATGCAGAAATGAATCTACTTTTGAAACTTTAGAAGACTAAGCCAAAATGCAAAGTCAAAGAGAACAACACAAGCCAAAATGCATAGCAAACACTGTAAAGTACCCAACATTTATAGTGGTTCCGTCATGCATATCGAGCATGCGTATCAGCCAACTTAACATTGTACAAGGGATGATAAAGCAAGATCAGTACAAGACTTTCCGATAGACTAGTTTGATTCCACAGATACAAGAAGGTTTCCTAATGGTGAAAAAATCATTGTTATAAAAAATAGTAGTTATGCAAGAAAGTGCTGCTTGCCATACAGCAAAATTTCTAAAGACCTTTCTTGCTAATGAGAGTACTGAGCTACTTGATTGGCTTGGAAAGTTTCTAGATATGAACCCTATTGTAAATCTGTGGGTGCTTATTGCATGCAAAGTGCTAACTTTGCATTTAACAAGTAAACAGAAATTCAAAGAACGACTGATTGAAGTATAGCATCGAGATCCAGATGTTAATTGATTTAAATTATAAATTTTAATAAAAAGCATTGATCTTAAAGTGGGTAAATAGTATGCCAAGGCATATCAAAGCTTTTTTAAAGTCAAAAGGAATCACCACCAAGTATTAGGTTTCATAATATGCATTTTATATATCAATATATAGATAATATATATAAAAAACAATTTGTGATTGCTTGTAATGAGTTTTGGACACACCAAAAAGACAGAAACTTAAAAATTGAACTTGAGTCTAATAATTTGAGTAGGTACTATACTATATATATATATATATATATATATATATATATATATATATATATATATATATATATATATATATATATATATATATATATATATATATATATATATATATATATATATATATATATATATATATGTATATATATATATATATATATATATATATATATATATATTATATATGTATATATATATATATATATATATATATATATATATATATATATATATATATATATATATATATATATATATATATATATATATATATATATATATATATATATATATATATATATATATATATATATATATATATATATATATATAATGAAACTCTAAAAACACTGAGTCATTGCTCAGCTTTACGTAAATATAATTTTCAGAAAAATTACTACAAAAATTTTTTCACGTAAAGCTGAGCAATTGCTGAGTAAAAGCAATTGCTTTTTTTATTAACCTGGCCTATTTAATAATTATATATAAATTGTGCAAAACAAATTAAAAGTTACCGAGTTAACTGTATATTGTTTATTATAAAGTTAATACATTAAAATTTGCTAACATATTAAATTTTGTTAATATATTAAATTTTAAATTGTAGTTTATATTTTTAGACTGAATTACACAATGTTCAAAAATCGCATTAATTTTGTAAAGAAAAATCCCATTGTTGCCAAACATTTCTTTGATAAAAACAAGTTAAAGGTATACAGACTTATCAAGTTTATTAATCATGATGAATCAGGGAATAAATAAATTAGAAGCAATTACTTAAGGAAACAGACAGAAAAAATACAAAAACAGTAAGAAAATAGAAATCTGTAGGAAACCGCTTCACAGTTAAAAATATTTTTACCCAAGTGCTGGAAACTTAATCAAAATTAGTTAGTAACTTCATTTTGGATGATAAAGCTTTTTACACTTTATGTAGCTCACATACTAGTTACAAGCGATTTTTTTAGAGATGGTATTAAAGCTTGTGCAGAAAATATAAAAATTTAAATTCAGAGTTATAGTGTTTTCATAACTACCAAAAGGTAATAAATCAACATCTTTACTCGGCGGTGTTTAATTCCTATCTAACAGTCATAAAAATTGAATTGTTTGTTTTAGCCTGACCAGTTATTACTTTATCATAAATAAAACTGTCACAGCATCTCGTGATGATGAAAAAAACTGAGTATATAAAAAGAATTGAGAACCAAGCATATATTTCTGAGGCTTGTCCAATTAGATTTATTCAATTTTAACTTTCGAAATAATTTAAAAACACCAAGTTTACAATAATAATTAGGGAATCAAAAATATAAAAATAACTCTAACATCGAGCCAATAATAACATTAAAGCATACTCTATAAGAATTTATAAGATTTTATGTTTATGAGGATGCCTTGGACTGTTGAGAGACTTAAAAAATGCCTGCAAAAAAATCTTCACAACAAAATCTAATATTTTGAAAAGTTTGTTTAATGACGTTTGCATTTAATGAAAATCTATCACTACTTTTTTTGTTATTTTATCCTATGAGGTTTTTTTAAAACTTATTGTAAAGTCCCAGGCTGTAATTTTGATAGTTCGCTGCTCATCAGCAGAACATAAACAAAACGAGCAAATGCAGACGTTGCGCCAATATTATTTTGACGTCTTCGTTTACGTTCTGCCAATGAGCAGCCACCTATCAGAAAAATGTAAGAATTACCTCTTCATTTGATTGGATGCAGACGTCGCGCCGATATTATTTTGGCGACTTTGTTTACATCCTGCCGATGAGCAGCCGTCTATCAAAAATATGTAAAAACTGCATCTTCGTGTATATTTTAACTATTTTAGATGTCGGCTCGATACCTATATGTTATCTGGGAAATATACATTAAGTACTTTCCTAAAAATATAAAAAAAATTTTCTCAAAACTTCCTAGAAATGATGTAAAAAATATTCCGTATTTTTTAATACAGAATAATTTTCACCTCATTTCTACACTCTAAATTTAAATGTGTTAAATTACAACCGTTTTGGTGTTAATATAACCTCAAACGGTGTTAATTGAAAATAATTTCGGAAAAAGGTGTAAATTTACACCGTTTTAGTGTAATTTTACACTCTAAAGGTGTATTTTTATCAAAACGGTGTAAAACAACACCTTTTTCGTTAACCACACCGTTTCAATATAAAATTTGAATAATGTAAAGCTTTTCTATTTTTACATTGTTTTAATGAAACGGTGTAAAATTATCTAAAACGGTGTAAAGCTGTTTTACACCGTTTTACCGAAATATAATCTCAGATTTACACCGAAATGAAATTTTATGAAAAGGTGTAAAATTACACCTTTTTGGTATCAACAAAGCCTCAAACAGCGTTTATTGAAAATGATTTAAGCAAAAGGGGTAGATTTACACCGTTTCGGTGTAATTATACACTCTGAAGGTTTATTTTTATAAAAACGGTGTATAAACATTTTATAATAACATCTTTTTTTTATTCACTACGCCGCTTCAAAAAGTGTCACCAAAAAGTAAATTATGATTCAATTGTTATAAAATCTAAAACATTCCCTGACATCAGGTGGTTCACAGTTTTGATAATTTTCAATTCAGAATTTTTGTAAGTGTGTTTTAGTGGTTTTGTAATGAATATATTTGAGAATAGTTTTCTAAATAAATTTTCGATAAAATTTGTAAATCAGAGTTATGCTTATTCTAAACAGGCTTGAGCTTAACGAGAAAAATATGCAATTAGAGTTATACTTAACGAAGATAAAATTTTATCTTCGCTAAGTATAACTCTAATTGCAAATTTTGTTTAAAATGTTCAAACATCTTAATACATTGTGTTTGTTGCGAGGAAACAACATTAGATTTTAAAATGCCTGCGATGTAAGCAAGGTACCGCTATTATTGACTTTATCTATAGGTACTGTTCGAAAACATAGTAAAAATGCTCGATAAAGAGGTTAAATAAAACATCGCGTCTTCATTGCATGGTTCACCAAAAATTATGGTTTTGTACAGAACTAATACAGAACGAATTTTATGAATTTATTGAAAAGTTGTTGTATGTATATATTTATTGGGAATAAAATTATATATAAAAGCAAAAAATATTTCTTTACAAAATTTTTTTAAATTTACACCAAAACGGTGTAAATTAAAACCAAAACGGTGTTAATTAACACCAAAACGATGTTAATTAACACCAAAATGGTGTAAATTAACACCAAAACGGTGTAAATTAACCCCAAAACGGTGTAAATTAACACTAAAACGGTATACAGCATGAAATACACCAAAACGGTGTAAATTAACACCGATTTGGTGTATTTCATGCTGCACACCGTTTTGGTGTAATTCAACATTTTTTAATTTAAAGTGTAGAATATTCCTGGATTCTTAAATTGTAGGCACACAAGTATGAAACCAAACCTAAATTTTGGTTTGTGTTGTTGCTAAGTTACGTTATGCTGAGTTACGTTATTACTGCGTTACATTATTGCTGAGTTACATTATTGGTGAGTTACGCAATTTCTGAGTTACGCTATTGCTGAGTTACGTTATTGCTAAGGAAACAAACCGCAGTTTAATAGCAACTGCTATTTAAGTTAAGTTTATAACTAATATTTGTTTCAGGTTAGTACAAGGGAAGAATAAGCAAAGTTGCTTTTGTTGCAAAGTTGCTTTAAATTTAGTGGAGGAAACGACAAAATTTTTTGGGTTTGACAACTGGTTAACCACTCAATTAGTATAAAGATATTGAAAATGTTATATAAATAACAAAGTTTTATAAATAACAAAGTTTTATCAATAACAAAGTTATAGATATTACATTTTCACTTATTTAAGGGGTTAAAACTTTTCACTTACTTTGTACTGCATTCTTCGAAGCTCATATGTTGGATCTTCGACTAATTCTTCCGGAGCATCTAGTTTAACTGATAACTTGTGCTGCCCCATCATATCTTCAAGATGTTGTCGAAACATGCTTTTGACTATTAAAAACATATTTTACTATATCTTAACATATATCCGGAAAAAAAGTGAAATTATTCATAAAAGATCAAATTTCTGATTACCTCCTTTAATATAGGGAAAATCGGGTCCTGCAATTGAGCGGTAGTCATAAACATTATTGCAGACTCTGTCCAAGATATCCATTAACCTTAGCTCACTTAAATTAAATAAAAAGTAATGTAGCTGTTTGTCAAGTAAAAATAAAACGGTACAGTCGTTTACTATCGTAGAGCATTTGCAACGTCTTTTGAAATCAATAATTGTAAAAAATATTTTTTTTCTGTATAAAAAGATTATAGAAAGAGTATAAAAGTAACTCACGAAGTTTTGTAAGAAATTTTTTTCCCTTTTTTTTCATCGTCGTTATCTTCACCGTCTAAGCGATTTGTCAACCATAGTTCTTGATTATTCGAACTCGACCTTTGTACCTCGGTGAGTAATTCTTCGGATAACACTCGACAAACTTAAATGTAAATTGCAATAGGAAATTTTAAAACTTCCAGAAATTTTATAAAGACAGGTAAAAGGCGGATAGCATATCTGTTCAGTTTAAAATAAAGCATGCATTGAAAGAAACTATTTTTTATAAGTTTTTAAGTTTTTTATTTTTTTAAAAACTATTATTAATTTTTATCTTTTTTTTTGTTTTTTTTTACCATTTAATAGTTTTTATAGACTACCTTGGCATTTCGTGGGTCTTAAATGTGCATTTTTAGAATACTCTTCAATCTTAGGATGTTTTTTTTTCTCACCATCGGTAGAGTTTTTTGTTGAGTTTATATTTAAAGCTTTCGTTATTTCGTTAATTTTGTTTTCGATATCTTTTCTATCCGCTGTTTTCTTCGATATTGAAAATTGTACATAGAACAAAAGTACGATAAAAGTTATATTGAAAATATTGAGAAGAGACATGATAGAAATGATTTTTTTTTTGTTCATCACTCGTACTTAGTTTCAACTATATTATTTGGACGTTTTTGATTGGAAAACTCAGTCGACGATCGACGATCGTGCGGTACTCGGTTCACTTAAATTCATGCTGCAAAATTCAACCCACCTTCAACTTTAAGTTGAAATAAAAAACGTTCAACAATTAAAAACAGGTCATCATTTTGTGCAATTTTTTTCTATTGCTATAAATGTTTGTACTTTAACTCTAGAAGAAATAAATATATAATTTTAAAATACTTAAGTTCAAGTATTTATATAATTTAAAGTTTTACATATTTACTATTTGCGATGGAGTAGAAACTTATATCAACTTAAAAACCTGCAAACTGAGAGAAAATGGAAGGGGGTCATGAGATAAATCAAGCTTGCGTCTGTTTAAATTCCCGGAGTTTTGAATTATAGAACATTGTATTAGTTTATTTAAACATTAATTTTGGTTTGCTGATCAAACACATTTTTTTTTCAACCAAATAAACTTTCAATCAAGTTTTTAGCGGTTCGGTTGTATAGTAATAACGCACACGTTCAAAAACGTACCATTCCGTTTCGGTATTACTTAAAAAAAAAAAGCTTGTGCTTAAATCAAAACAGTTTTCTAAATAAATGCATTTTCTGAAAAAAATTAAGTATTAGCCGACCAACCTATTTATATAAAGGTATGAATTTTGATAAAAATTAAATTACAGTATAGTAAATAAAGTATAAACTAACTGTATAGTACTAATTATTATTAATAAATAAATAAATAAAGAAACAAAATGAATTGACCACTTTGCTTTGTTTTGGCGTAAACAGCCCTACTTACACTGGTGTTAGTAGTTATTCGTTATGTTATTAGTAGTTATTCGGTATAAAATTGGCAATTTAAATTTTCTGTTATATTGGCAGAGCCGTAGCAACTCAGTGTAATCAGTGTGGAGAAGGTGCGGGTTTTAGCAAAGGGTTGGTGGTATGGTGGTATATATATATAAATATGTGTACATAATGTTAATTTGGTAATATTTTTAATAACTTTAATTATGATGCTTTTATGATTCATTGATTATTGTAAATTAATGCTGCAAGTTGCTAAGCGACTAAATAAGTTGCAGCATTAACTAGTTTCTGTTTGTTTATTAAGGTGATTTAAAAAAATAATAATTTAAAATAATGCTATACTGTAATACTAAATATTTTTATCATAATAGAATAATACTGGATTGAAAAATTTTAATAAAAAAATTTTTTTAGTGGTAACGTGTTAGTTGTAAATGGTAAATTCCATAAAAACTATACCCTTATATATATAGTTTAACGTCTTTAATCACATTTAAAGCAACAACAACATTTTTTTTTTTCATTGTTTGTATAAAACAGTAAACATACAAGCTATATATATATATATATATATATATATATATATATATATATATATATAATATATATATATATATATATATATATATATATATATATATATATATATATTTTATATATATATATATATATATATATATATATTTATATATATATATATATATATATATATATATATATATTTATATATATATATATATATATATATATATATATATATATATATATATATATTTATATATATATATATATATATATATATATATATATATATATATATATATATATATATATATATATATATATATATATATATATATATATATATATATATATATATATATATATAGCTTAGCTTAAGCAAAGCTTAAACTATAATATATATATATATATATATATATATATATATATATATATATATATATATATACATATATATATATATATATATATATATATATATATATATATATATATATATATATATATATATATATATATATATATATATCAAAAAAAACAAAAAACATACAAGCTCTATTTCTAAATATTAGTTACATGTAAAGACAAAATGCTATAATATAAATTTATAAAAACTCAGATTCTTGCTTCTAGAGCATCCGTCTTAAAATCAACACCGACTTCAAAATCATTTTTTTAGTCCACGGTGTTCTTGAACCTCTTAAATAAAGGATAGTTGAGCAAATTATTTCGAAAGATAACTTCCTTCTCAACCACGTCATAACAATTGAATATTTTTCGTTTTATTTTTCCACTAGTTTCTAGGCTAGCCTTCTAACAAACTTATAACATTCTTTACCCATACCTCCATTTGTACCAAATACTAGTGTTATCAAACTGCCATGTTCGACTTCACAAATTCATTCGCCATACTCTCTTTTTTTTTCCTTTTTGTGTTTTCTGAATATACCAGCTATATCTAGATTTTTGTTGTTCATGGAATTGACATAAGTCTTACGTCAAAAAATGCTGTCTGCCCTTTTCGCCAAAAACCATTTGCTTTAGTATCCAAACGAGCTTGGCTACTTTTATTTGTTGTATGGAAATAAAAATTCTCATTATCAAGGGGTATGAGGTGTGGTTCGGATTGAAAATTTATGCACACTCTTTTAAGCAATGTGGTGAACAAATTTCTTATAATATCATGACGACTTGAAATGAAGCCACCTTTCTTACACGACATCATACAAAAGACATCATTTTGTAGAAAATCTGAATTTTCTTCTCAAATTAAAAAGCAAAACAATAACAATTTTAAAAATGTTCCCTTTTTATTTGAAATTATTTATCATCCATCAGGTTCTAATAGTCATGTGGTACTTATATCCGCCATTTAAGTTTTCATTGATTCTATTATTATATAGATAGATTGTAAACTACCGCAGTAATATCTTCAACATTCCTTCTTGAAAAGCAGGAAATGATTTTATAGGAGAGTTAGCTTTTTAATTAAGAAAGTTAAACATCACTTTAAGTTTAAATTCAATCTCTCTCAAAGCTATAATGATTCTGCCGAGCTATCTTTTGCAAAAACCTTCTGCAAAATCAAAGTCCAAAGAACACAAATTTTGTTTAATTCATAAGATATAGTGCTTTCTACTAAAAAAATTTCAAAATATACAAAAAAAAAATTTGTAAAATCCAAAAATAAAAGATCTGTAGACGATACATGTAGAACTTTTTCAAAGTTTATTATGGAAGGTAAAACCACTGCAGCGCTGAAATATTTAGAAAAAGATATCGTCTGGTATATTACCACTTTCGGACAACACAACCAAAGACCTAATTTTTTTTTTCTTTTTATTATCTTTGCTTCCAACAAGACTGAAAACAACCAGTATTAGACATGAAAGTTACTGGAACAGAAAAGGTGAAGTTTATACATTAAAAAAACGATTGACAGACGGCTTTAAAAATTGCAAACTATATGAATCAGGAAAACAAGATGAAGGAAGCGAATTTTATAGAACTGATGTTTGAGTAAAAAAACTAGATGTGCTCCGAGATGGAGATCTTAATTAAAACTATATTTACGTTATTCTAACTTTATGAAGTTATTATATAGAAAATAAGCGATAAGAAATGTTGTAGTTTATCATTAAATTGGCGACGAAGATAAAAGAAAAGAAATTTAAAATAAAAAAACAATTAACAAAAATTTTAGTAAAAAGCGTATTTATCTATGGCTATAAAAAACATTAATTTACCAAACTTTTCTCCGTTTTTATGTACTGAAGAAGCAAGTAAGTTATTTTCAAGCTGGAAATGATACATTAAACGATTTGAGCTACTTTGCGATTCACTTGTAATTATAGACGATAAACAAAAACTTTCGTTACTTCTAACTTTAATTGGAGATAACACTTACGAAATTTATGAAAACATTATACCTCAAGATACGCTAATAAGATACCAACAAGCTGTCGAAGCTTTTAACGAACATTTCAAGCCCAAGTAAACCTGAGCTATGAAATCTTTACTTTTCGCAAGATGGCTCAACGTATAGACGAAACCACTCAGCAGTTTTTCGTTCGATTAAACGAACAAGCTGTCAAATGCGAGTTTGCTGATAAGGATAAAGAAATTAAACAACAAATTGAGCTTTGCACAAATATCCTAACAAAACTCTACAGGACTTGTTAACTACTGCCAAAACATTTGAGCTGATGGACCATCAAATAGAAGAACTTGAAAAAGAAACGATAAAACAAAAAGAAGTAAATACAGTAAAGAAAACAAAATTTCCAGAAACCAGTCAAGCGCCACATGAGACAGAAACTAAGTCGCTAAAAAGAACTTGCTACCGATGCGGAAACGAATTTCCACACACGAATATATGTTTAGCTTTGGGGAAATCTTGCCACTCCTGCGGGAAAATCGGACATTTTGCAACAGTCTGGAAAACTAGAAAACAAAATGAACAGAATACAAGAATACATCAAGAGAAATACATGAGAAATGAACAAGGTTATACGAAACCATTAAATACAATTTACAAAGATATCAATGAATCCGAAAATCCTCAGTCAAAGTTAAACGAAGGAAAATTGTACTCTGTCAATGCTAAACAGATATCTAACGACGGACTTGAGAACTTCGAGGTAACGATTAACATATATACCAATAACCGTTCTAATAGACACCAGAGCTTCGATAAACATTCTAAACTTTAAACCATTTGAAAAGACAACTTCCTTAAAAGACCACTTCGACTACAAAAATCTAAAACACAGATTATTACTTACGGGGATAACAATCCAAAGCTCAAAATAGAAGTACAGATTAATGTCGTGATAGAAATTTCGTCAGTTTCCACGTGGTTAAAACACACCACAAAAATCTGTTATCTGGAAATGACGCTAAGTTACTCGGTTTAATACAACTAAATACTGACGTCAATAAGAGACTTTTAAACAAAAGGCCAAAGAGAACGAAATAACCATGACGACAGTAATTACAACAAGTTTGCCATTCTTTGCAGAACTTAAGCAAATTAAACAATACTCTCCTTCTAAACGCTTTAAAACGATTAGAACCACTTATAAACTCATACAAAAATTCTGTTTTTAGCGGTAAAATAGGAAAACTCTCCAACTACCAAGTAAAATTGAAAATTAATGAAAGTATACTACC